TGGATGCATGAGACAAGTGCTCAGGGCTGGTGCACTGGGAAGACCCAGAGGGATGGGATGGAGAGGGAGGCGGGAGCGGGGATCGGGATGGGGAACACATGTAAATCCATGGCTGATTCATGTCAATGTATGGCAAAAACCACTATAATATTGTAAAGTAATTAGCCTCCAACTAATAAAAATAAATGAAAATAAAAAATAAAATTTATTTATTCCTCAGCAAGGGCTCAGGAAGGTTTCTAGAAAACTTGATGAGGCGAGAAAAGGGGGTGGGGGAGGCAGCTGCAAGAAAGCATGTCCACAGGGGTCCACCACAGGGGTCGTGGAAGGTTTACAGCCAGAAGCAATGGGAGGTGTTTATAAAGATGTAGCAGAATTCATAGTTGCAACAAAGGCAAAAACAAAAGGAAGGGGCATTCTCCGTACCCCATAAGCATTCTTGAGTGTTCTAAACACTGTGGAGGTTTCTACACTTGCAATTTGATGTGGATTCATTACTAAAGTAGGCTAAGGGCCTTTCTGAAGGGGGTGGGCTGGGTTTTGTTTTGTTTCCATAGTGCATCTGAGCACCCCACCTGCTCAGAAAACCCAACCCTGTACTCCTGCTCCTGGAGACCGCTGGAGTATGGCGGACTCGGACTTCAGCCTCACTGCAAAAACTCAGAGCAAGCAAAAGCCTAGCTGGTCCACTTATACATAGGTTTTTCTATGTAAACAAACAGAGGGCCCTCCATATCTGTGGGTTTCACACCGGCAGATGTGGAGGGCCCGCTATGGGACTTGAGCATCTGCAGATTTTGGTATCCCTCGCGGGTCCCGGAATCAATCCTCGGCGACACTAAGAGGTGAACGTATTAGTTTGATTGCTTCTCCTTACTTAGTATTGGCTGCTGGATATGGCGAGCTGAGCCAGGAGATAGTCCCCAAATGTTTCTCCAAGGTCTACGGAGCTACGATGAGCGCTCACTCTTCCCGTCCACAAATTAGGCACAGGCCCTTAGTCTGGGAAGACGCTGGACCAAGTGTGCAGTACTTGGTCAGCTAAGTTGCAACTTGGGAGCCTGAGTTCTTCTCTCACTCATGCTCCCTACCAGGGCCCCACGTGGTGCCCCATCCCCTCACCTCCTGCCCACCCCTCCCCCCGCCCCCAGGACAGCCACGCCCCTGCCGCATGCGCACCTCGGCCGACCCAACCCCCAGCGGCTGACTAATATAAACCCCTAGCGGGTGCGTATTCGGACTCTGGTCCTGAGCCGACGCCAGAGTAGACCTAACGGTGCCAGATCGCGGGCCGCCACTTCTAGCCCTGAGTCAAGAGCCGGGGTCTCAGGAGATCCACGACAGCCTCTGCTGAAGGCGCAGCATCCTGGACAGGGGTCTGAACATGAAGCCTCAGCCGCAGAGAGGCCATAGTGCCGATGCCGACACCCACGCGGTCATAGAGGGCTTCCTCAGGCTGGGGGTCAAGGAGAATTGGGAAGAAGCGCACGGTCAGTGGCAGGCTGGGCACTCGGTTCAGAGGATACCCAGAAACTAATTTCCCTAGGGAGGGGCAAGCGGGAGAATTTCTCCTCAGACGCAGCGGGTTCCCACCTCTTCCTCAGCCGGGTTGCTCGACGGCCTGATCTTTGGCTTTGGGTTTCTTCTCTTACAGAGGCCGAGCCCGCGAAGATCTCGCTTCCTAGAGAGAGGGGAGAGGAGCCGAAGGCTCAGTCCGAAACTGAGCAGGGAGCAGCCGCGGAGGGGAAAGAGGCAGGATATGAAGGAGAAGAACAGGAAGGCGGCGCTGTGGGCGCGGGAGATGCGGGCCCCCAGGAGGGGGAAAGCCGCGAGGCCAAGGCTGAGGTGGAGGCTGAGGCGGGCGCGGGCGGCGGCGAAGACGGAGAGAAGGGCGGGGAGGAGCAGCGCCCGGGAGCCGCCGTCGAGCTTCAGAAGGCGGCAGACGGGCTCGGCCGAGTCCGCCCGCACGCCTTCACGCTGGAGCAGCTGTGGGAGTTGGAGGGAGTTTTCCGCCGCACTCCGTATGTCGACGAAGCCATGCAGTAAGCGGGCAGCTCTGGGGCAGCTGGCTGGAGACCCCGAGGCTCAACATCCTGGGGACACGCTCTCGAGCGAGGCGGCCCAGACCGGGCCCACAACACGGTCCCTGTCCTCAGCTCGGGGGCGGGGGCGGGGGCGGGGGCTCTGCGCGGTGGGAATTGAGTCTGCATTCTGGTGCGGAGTTTGAGTCAGTCACGTCGGGAAACTGTCGGCTCACAGTTAACAAATGAGTCACCTGAGGCATGGTGGAATACGTGCGCAGTTGAATTCTACTTTGTTTTAAAATATTGGTTATCAGTTATTCATGGATTATATTTGCATTAATGTAAATACCACGTTGAACATGAAATTCGCTCAGTCGTGTCAGACTGTTTGCGACCCTATGGACTGTAGAGTCTGTGGAATTCTCCAGGCCAGAATACTGGAGTGGGTAGCAGTTCCCTTCTCCAGGGAATCTTCCCACCCCAGGGATCAAACCCAGGTCTCCGCATTGCAAGAGGTGCTTTCCCAGCTGAGCCACCAGGGAAGCCCAAATACTACATTAAAACATCCTTTATCTTAATTACTGAATTTTTAGTTACCCTTAAAGTTGTGCCTGAGGTAGAATTGTCCCTAAAGCAAGCTACAGAGTGAAGAATGAATGGATTGCTGAGTATCTGTGAATGCAGACAAAATTTTAAAAGCTCTCATTTACATTGCACTTACTGTGTTAAGCACTTGCCGTAAAGGGTTTTCTACAGATTGTCATTGAATCTTCACAAGCCTATGTGAATGTGGTAGCTACTGTTTTTTATCCCCGCTTAACCTGTTAAAAAACTGAAGCCCAGAGACATGAAGAGACTTGCCCAAGATCCACACAGCTGGGAAGTGGCTGAGATTTGATCCTAGGAGGCTGTTCAGTAGGCAAGGCCAGAGGTGATGGTGTGTTGCTCCAGGTAGTGGTAATGGATAGAAGCGAACAGCTTAAAGAGATATTTAGAAGGTAAAATTGATAGCAATTCATGGTAATTTAGACATAGGAATAAAAGGAAATGATTAGAAAAATATCTGAGTTTCTGATTTGCCCAACTGAATGGCGGGTGGTATACTCACTGAGCTAGGGAATATTGAAAGAGTGACAGAAGCTTGCAAGAGACAGAGAAGGACTGATTGGAGAGGCTGTAGGCAAACCATATCATGGAAACCTCCATGGTGGTAGGAGATGATTTAATGAGAAGGGATGAGAAGGTAAATAGCATCAGCTTTGGCTCAGTATTTTCTGTTCAGTTTGATTACTTCAAGTTCAGTTGGCTTTTGCTGTGTGATAATTCTAAGAATCAGTCTAATTTCTCCCTTTCTCAAGTGCCAAACTCAAGATGCCCCTTGATTTGGGTGTCTAGAACTGCCTATATCTCATTTATACCTTTTGACTGCCTTCACCCAATTCCCCCACCTGACTCCCTCCCATAACCACCAATCTAATCTCTTTAGTTTGTTTACTTTTGAAGTATAATTGACCTACAACAATATGTTAGTTCCTGTTATACAACATAGTGGTTCATTATTTCTATACATTTAAAAATAATCACCATAAGTCTGTCACCATAAAAGATATTATATAATTATTGACTATATGCCCCACATTGTACATTTCATATCAGTTATTCATTTATTTTGCAACTGGAAGTTTTTACCTCTTAATCTCCTTCGCCTATTTCTCTCCTCCTCCCACTCCTCCTTTCAGACAACCACCTGTTTTTTTTCTCTGTATATATAATTTTGTCTCTGTTTAGTTATATTTGTTCATTTGATTCCACATGTAAGTGAAATCACACAGTGTTTGCCTTTCTGTGTCTGACTTATTTCACTAAACATAATACTCTCTAGGTCCATCCACATTATTACAAATAGCAGAATTTCATTCATTTTTATGACTGAGAAGTATTCCATTATATATATATACCACATCTTCTTTATCCATTTATCTGTTACTGGGCACTTAGGTTGCTTTCATATTTTGGCTGTTGTAAATAATGCTGCTTTGAACATTGGAACATTGAGGTGCAAATATCATTTTGAATTACTGTTTTCATTTTCTTTGATATTTACCCAAGAGTGGAATTGCTGGATCATATGGTAGTTCTATTTTTAGTTTTTTTTGAGAAACCTCCATACTGTTTTCCATAGTGGCCGTGCCAGTTTACATTCCCACAGTGTAGGATTCCCTTTCTCCACATCCTTGCCAACATTTGTTATCATTTTGATGATAGCCATTTGACAGGTATGAGGTGATCTCATTATGGTTTTGATTTGCGTTTCTCTGATGATTAACAGTGTTAAGCATTTTTTTTCATATGTCTGTTGGCCATCTGTGTATCTTCTTTGGCAAAATGTCTGTTCAGGTCTTCTGCCCATTTTTGCATTAGGTTCTTTGTTTTTTGATACTGAATTGTATGAAGTGGAGTGAAAGTCACTCAGTCGTGTCCAACTCTGTGACCCCATGGACTATACAGTCCATGGAATTCTCCAGGCCAGAATACTGGAGTGGGTAGCCTTTGCCTTCTCCAGGGGATCTTCCCAATCCAGGGCTTGAACCCAGGTCTTCTGCACTGCAGGTGGATTCTTTACCAGCTGAGCCACACAAGGGAAGCCCAAGAATACTGAAGTGGGTAGCTTATCCCTTCCCCAGCAGATATTCCTGACCCAGGAATAGAACCAGGGTCTCCTGCATTGCAGGTGGATTCTTTACCAACTGATCTATGAGGGAAGCCCGACCTGTTTTTATAAATATTAGATATTAACTCCTTGTCAGTAATATCCTTTGCAAAAATTTTCTCCTGTCCAGTAGGTTATCCTTTTGTTTTGTATATGGTTTCCTTTGCTGTGCAAAAGCTTTTAAGTTTAATTGGGTCTCATTTGTTTGTTTTTGCTTTTATGTCTTTTGCCTTAGGAGACAGATCCCAAAAAGTATTGCTGTGATTCATGTCAAAGAGTATTCTGCCTATGTTTTCCTCTAGGAGTTTTATAGTATCTAGTCTTACATTTAGGTCATGAATCCATTTTGAGCTTATTTTTTAATGTTCTGTGAGAAAATGTTCTAATTTCTTTTACATGCAGCTGTCCAGTATTCCTAGCACCACTTATTAAAGAGACTCTTTTCCCTGTTGTATATTCTTACCTGCTTTGTCATAGATTAATTAACAATAAGTACTTGGGTTTATTTCTGGACTCTCTAGTCTGTTCTAGTGATCTATGTGTCTGTTTTTAATGCCAGTACCATATTGAGGTTTTTCTTTTTTTTTTTTTTGGCCACACCCCATGCCATTCAGAATCTTCTCTGACAAGGGATCGAACCCAAGCCCCTTGTAGTGAAAGGGCGGTGTCAGGTGTCTTAACCACTGGACTGCCGGGGAAGTGCATTGATGACTATAGCTTTGTGGTATAGTCTGAAGCCATGGAGTGTGAAACCTCTAGCTTTGTTCTTTGTTCTCAAGATTACTTTGGCCATTTGGGGGTCTTTTGTGTTTTCACATAAATTTCAGGATTATTTATTCTTTGGGTGAATTTATTGTTGGGTGAATAATGTCATATATCTCATTTTTATGTAGGTTCTTTTGTTTTTTAAATTAATTTTTATTGAAGTCTAGTTGCTTTACAATGTATTAGTTTCTGCAGTATAGCAAAATGAATGAGCTATACATATACACATAGCCCCTCTTTTTTTTTAATTTCCTTCCTTGTCATGTATTTTGATAGGGATTGCATTAAATCTGTAGATTGCTTTGGGTTGTGTGGGTATTTTAGCGATATTAATTCTTCCAATCCAAGAACATAGATTATCTTTCCATTTCTTTGTATAATTTTTAAATTCCTTCAGCAGTGTTTTATAGTTTTCAGAGTATAGGCCTTTCACTTGGTGAAAGTTTATTTCACTTCCTTTGGTGAAACCAAACCACCTTGGTTAAGATTATTCTTAGGCATTCTTTTTAATGCTATTTTAAATTTTATTCTTTTTAATGCTATTTTAAATGGGATTGTTTTCTTGCTTTCTCTGATATTATTATTTCTCTGATATATTATTAAGTGTATAGAAAAGCAACGCATATCTAATATTAATGTTGAATCCTGAAACTTTATTGAATTCATTTATTCTAATAGATCTTTGGTGGGGACTTTAAAGTTATCTTTTTTAAAAAATTGAGGAATAGTTAATACACAATATTATATGTTTTAGGTGTACAACATAGTTATTCACAATTTTTAAAGGTTGTACTCCACTATAGTTCTTAGGAAATATTGGCTATATTCCCTGTGCTGTACAATCTATCCTTGTAGCTTATTTATTTTACACATAGTAGTTAGTACTTATTAATCCACTACCCCTATCTTGTCCCTCTCTCCTGTCTCTCCTCACTGGTAACCACTAGTTTATTCTCTACATCTATGAGTCTTGTTTCTTTTTTTGATATAGTCAATAGTTTGTTTTCATTTTTAGATTCCACATATAAGTGGTACCATACACTATTTGCCTTTCTCTGTCCTACTTATTTATTTCACTGAGCATAATACCCTCCAAGTCCATCCATGTTGTTGCAGATGGGAAAATTTCATTCTTCTTAATGTTGAGTAGTATTCTATTGTATGTGTATACCATATCTTCTTTATCCATTTCTGTGTTGATGGACACTTACGTTTCTTCCATATCTTGATTGTTGTGAATAATGCTGGTATGAACATTGGGGTGCATGTATCTTTTTGAGTTAATTTTTTTTAAGATATATACCCAGGATTGAAATTTCTGGGTCATACGGTAGTTCTGTTTTTAATTTTTTGAGAAACCTCCATACCGATTTCTATAGTGGATGCACCAATTTATATTCCCACCAACAGTGTGCAAGTGCTCTCTTTTCTCCACAAGCTCACCAACATTTGTTACTTGTAGTCTTTTTGATGATAGCCATTCTGACATGTGTGAGGTGATATCTCATTGTAGTTTTGGTTTGCATCTCTCTCGTGATTAGTG